TGATTTTTCCAAGATATGAACAAGTAAATTTTAGCAGTTTCCAAGTGGTAAGTATCTTGATTACCAAGGAGCAGTGGGATGTGAAGTTGGCCGGTGAAAACAAATGATTGATAGCTTCCTTTTAACACTCTTCCTCCCCCCCGTCCCCCACCCGCATGGCTCATTATTCTGTTGCATTAATTTAAGCTTTCCTATTGTACTGAATTAGGGGCTAACATTCTCTTATCATCCCTATGGGAATCTTGATTGTTTATTTGTAGGTGACAATAATTGTTTTTATCGATCCCCAATTGTGGAAGGTATAAAAAGTGTCATGGCTGATGACCAGCTGGTACATAGTGCTATGTGCATGACTGACAAATTACAAGATAATATTTGGCCCAAGAGGTGACCCTTTCAGAATTTTTTAAGGCATTTGATAGTTATGCCTTAAACTAGGTCTCTCCAAGCTAAGAAGCATAAACAATTTCACATATATCAGCTCAAGTCTTTTTGTCACTGATTCTATTGAACCTCCAAAAGGTCAACTGGGGTGTAAAATTTATACTTCTTCCTTTCTAGTACACCCACACAGCAGGAAAGTTTAGAAATGGTGCAGCTACAAGAATTCCCAGATGCAGTGCCATCCAGGCCAGCGAATTCCCTTAGGAACCCAGATCATCAGGGCATTTATTTGGAGTGAAGTGAAAGTCACTCAGTCGTGCCCGACTCTTTGTGACCCCATGGACTATACAGTCCATGAGATTCTCAAGGCCAGAATACTGTAGTGGGTAGCCTTTCCCTTCTCCAGGGGATCTTCCCAACCCAGGGATTGAACCCAGGTCTCCCTTATTGCAGGCAGATTCTTTACCAACTGAGTCACAGGGGAAGCCCCTTTACTTATTTGAAAGAATTCCTCTATTAATCCAGCAGCTGCCATTCTTCCACTGCAAGTATCATTATATGGATATTAGCTGGGAGTATTGAGAAGAAACCACTTTGCTAGCCCAGGCAAGTATTATGGGTAGGAAACTTCATATGATTTTACATCCCAAATATGTCAGAGGCACCGGGGTGGGGGGTGGGGGGGCCAGAAAATGCAACTCTTTAATTAAGTGATGGTTGTAGAACAGGATACTTGGGCAGTATGAACCTCCTAGTCTGAATCAAATGCAACACAGCTTGCTTGAAGAGCTTTTGAGCTAATTGTTATGCTGTTTCTCCAGAGACAAAATAAATCAGTTGAAGCTTAAAAGCCATCGATTAAAAAAAAAAAAGCCATCGATATCAGAAATGGGGTAAAAATTTCCTTATTAGGTGGACAGATGGAAAGATCTTTGACCAAAGCCCAAACCCTGAAATTCCTGACCCTCTTTTCCTGTGGTAAAGAGAAGACAAACACACAGAGAAATCATTGTGATAACTGTACCCTATTTATCCTTTGAGGGTTCTGCTAGGAAAACCTGGCTGTTGGACTCTTAGAAACAACTATATGAGTTGGACCAGAAAGAGCCAGGAGAGCTTATTTTGCTGAGTAGGGGTCCATATGTCTCACGAGCGATCCTCCCTTTGTCTCGGGGCTCTGATGCTATCTTGGTCCTTGACAGCAACTATGTGGAAGGACTAGCTCCTAGCAAAACACCTAAAAAGAAAACCGATTTGACTTAATTCAGATTTTTTTTCTCACTCAAATTAATCTTTACCCTCAATGGTATGGTGGTGCCTTTGGTTTTAGACAGCCCTTCCAGCACCTTCCAGGAGCAATTGTGTGAAAGAGAAAAATATGGAGCTTCTCTCTCCAAAAGTTGAGGGAATGTAGCCACCACCACTGCCAGATAAAACTGTACACCCTTTCTATATACACCCCAGGCACTCAAAGGCATTCCCACATTACAAATGTGCATTTGTTGCGACCTGACCAATTGTGTTATATGCTTGTTAATTACACACCCTACATTCATGGAACATGGAACTGCCACGTGGCTAAAGATGAAAACAGATTGACTATCATGGGTGATGATCGCAGAATCATTTGATTTTAAAATGAGAGTAAACCTTAGGTATGCCTTAAACTATCTCATTCTAGGGAAAAGGAAACTAAGATGCCCCAAAGAAGCTAAGTTGTCCAAAGCTTCACATTCCAGTCATGTCACAGCTGGAATGGGAAACCAGACATCCTCACTCAGTTCTTTACTGTGCTTGGTACTAACTCTGAAACACACAGGTTCTGCTTTGTTACCCTATATTGTGATTAATTGCTTTAACATGTGTGGCCTTCCCCCACTAGACAGTGTCTCTTTAAGAAAATATTCATCACCAGCTTCTAGCATAGTCAGTAGCACATAATAGGATTCCAATGAATGTTTGTTAAAAAAGGTGAATAAGTGGGTAAATATGTGAGACCCATCTTTTCTCATCATGTGCAAATAAATGCTGTAATTTTTTATGATCATTACTAATGCTTGGTCAGCCTAGTAATGAAGAATGGATAGGATTGGAAGGTATAAAAGTAGAAAGAAAAGGCAAGAAGAGGGAAAAAATACAATTCAACAGGAAGAAAAACTGGAAAAAAATATCAGTATATAGATAAAATTTCTAGATTTGATTTGGGAGCTTTTGGTCAAGACTCTTGTCTCTTCTGATCTCTCCCAATTTTCAAATGACTTTTTCAGCAGATGGTGCTTTAAGCACTTCCCGTCATTGCTGCTCCTCCTCAGACACCAGAATTGCAGGATTGCCTGCAGGTTGCATTGTATTATAGGCAAAGTTACTCTCTTATATCTTCCCCTCCCTGTGGTATGTCTTCCCACCCATTTGGCACTTGTTCCTAACCCATGCTGCTGCAACTGTTCCTGTCACAGAGGAAAGTGCATGTAACTCGATGTGGTACTGTTTCTGGAATGTTTTCCATTTAGAAGACACACCAGGAGATACAAAGGAAGTCATTTTACATATTGGTATTTCAGCCTCACTGACAAATAGGCAGAGGGGGTGGATATAGATGCTCTGGGTTTGTTTCTCTTTGCAAATCAACCAAAGTTGATGAAAATAAAGGCTAAAAATCCGGTTATCAACCCTCACTGTGAGTTCCTTGCTCCTGAAATGCTTACTACCTGTTGAGATCTGATACTAAGTGGTGCCTGTTTATAAAAGAATGAAAGGATTCAGGGTCCTAACTGTAACACACTGATGGCTTGGTCATGCAGAACTGCAGCAAGGATGTTGGACATCAGTGGGAAAAACTGCTAGTGGGAGTGCTGTGCCGATGGTGGAGTACAGGAGGGAAAGAGATGACAGAGCACCAGTTTACCAAGACATCTAGGTGGAAGATTGGAAATTTGGTCTTTTTTAGAAAGTGATGCTACACACTTGCCAAACAACCTGGGGTGACCCAGATGCCCCTATGGGGAAAGTTTTAAGGAGATAGGCAGTCATCTGCTTTGAATGGATTGGGTTATCTTGGCCAAAGATGAATATGGAGATCCAGCTTTTCATCCAACATTCCCTTGAACCATTTGCAACTTGACAGACTCCTCAAATCAGCACTTACCTAATTACTCTACCCCTTCAGTTATTCTACTTGCCATCTCTTTCTTAAACATATGGAGCACACATCCTCATATCTGTGATATGGAACACTTCCTGGAACACTCTTCCCTCATATGGTCTGTTGAGCCAGCGGCATCTGTTGCTCATCGCTGGGAGTAGAAGTCCAAACACTTCTGCCCACTGTAGCTTGGTATTGGAGTCACCAAAGAAAACCCAACACAGTCAAGCACTGTGCTCTGGAGAACAGTGGAATGCTGGAACAGAGCTCTCCTCGCATAGAGAAGAGAGACAGACAAGATCAGCTGTAAGAGTGGACATCAGGCCACAGTCAGCAGGTCCCTCCCAGCAGCTGACACAGGACTGTTGGTCTGCGGGCAACCCTCTTGTGCCACAGAACAAAGGACCCCAGCCCCTTTTTGCAGGGAAGAGTTATAGCAGTGAGGTCAGCCAGGTGCCATATGTCACATAGGCAGAGCAAAGGAGTGCACCTTGAGTGTGAAACCGAAGAGGCTACTCCCACACAAGGTGGTGAGTCCAGCACAGGCTGTGAAAACTCCTTGGTGAGGAAGTGTTCCAGGCCCAAGACCTATTCTTATGTGACCAAGAGGGGGTTGAAAGACTGCCCCCATGAGGCTGCCTTCCCAGTAGGCCCATATCGTTTCTTCCCATTTACCTCTCCTGCCCTCTCTTTTCCCCATATTTTTGTGTCTATTATCAAAAAGGCCTTCCCTGATCAACCTTTATAACATAGCCATCTTCAGATCCAATCCTCTAGCCTCTGTGAAGACAAAAAGCCTTGTTTTGATACTTACTATATTTATATATCTGTGTCATCTATAGCAGTGATGGGCACATAGTAGGTGCTCAGTTAAAACATGTTCAGGAGGTTGGTAACACAGGTCTTATAAAGGAAAAATCTTGTCTCATGATGCCTGGAAAACAGTGAAGGAAAACTTTTCAAATGCTTTCACATACCAAGTCATTCACTTACACCACATCCAACTTTCACTTAGAAGACCAACAAGCCTCCCAAGAAAGTGATGTGTCCAGGTAAGTAAGATAACACCATTATCATTCAACTCCTATCAGGGCTCCAAGCAACTTGAGAAAACCTGTCCTCTGATATACAGCACTAATTTGTGTCTTACGGAAAATCAAATAAATTATTTTTCACCTGAAGGGAGCACGATTATTTGACTCCAGATATTTGCCATATGGCTTCCCTTCCATACAACATAGCTTCTAGGCTTAAGGTAGTAAGAGTGAAAGCATGCCTATAAACTATTCAGAGATAATTCAAAATAAGTGTGTATCTTTGACAGATTGTCAAGTTTCCTTATGCTTTTTTCCTGATAACAAGTGCTGTGTTTTTGATAAAAGGTTGCTCATTTCTCATCACCCTTTGCTGTTGCTCTGTGTGTGTCTTCCGTGTTGTTTTGTTTGTTGTTTGTTTGTTTTCATTCCCCCTACAGAGTCCAGTCTGGCTCTTACCTCAGCACAGGGTGGTTCACCTTCATTCTGGCCATGGATGCCTGTTATGGCATTCACGTCTACGGGATGATAAATGACACCTACTGCAAGTAAGATCACAGGAAATTATTTTTATGCATCTCCAATCCTGATATCTTGTCAAAATATCACAATTCATTTTAATACCATAAATCTGAGACACGGATAAAGCAACAATTATTTCCTGGCATTCTTTGCTGACATGACATTTTATTGTCAGTGCATCAAGTTGTGACTTTCAGGGATGATAAAAAGAAAAATATTTACCACAGTCTAATGTCAAATGTCAGAAGGAACCTTTTTCCTTTAGTCTGTGGCATATCAGGGACTTGTGGCTTGAAAATACAGAACAAGTTCAATGGTTATTTAATTTGCAGAACAGGTTTGTTGTTTCTGCTGCTCGAATGGTTGATGAATGGCTATCTACTCAATGGTTATATTTGATCTTGAAGGACAAAATGTTCTGAAGCCTCAGAGAGGCTGATACCTTAACAAGAATTCCTGGAAATTATATTTCACTGTTAAGTGAGTAATCTGTCAGATCCTTATTTAAAATGTAAGTGTTTATCTACAGTATATCCCTGCTGGTAGGATAGTTTCTAATTAGATAATAAAACAAACCTTCCATGCTTCATCAAGGTAATGAAATAGATTTCCCTACCAACAATTGGCATAGTATCATTCAGAGAGTGTTTTAATCATATTGTCAAATGGTACCTAAGCCACAGTCTTCATAATCAAATATTTCTACTTTAACTATAAGCATAATGGAGCACAGATGAACCAAATATCTTACTCTGAAAATCATTAAGCCTCTTCAAGCTCTGCTAAAGCAATCAGGTTATCCAAAGTTTGTTTCCATTATACACCATTTCCTCCCTCAAAGAATGGCTCTATGTTTGCATATAATTGGTGTGATGCATAAATTTTATTTGATTTATTAAAGCACTAAGGACCTGGTGTGTCTTTCTAAAAGCTTTTGTGTATAATAGCTTTTAACTGAGTTCATGGACAAGAATCAGGCATGGGTTTGCAAGTAATGCATTTACTGGGCACATAATGGATTCTAATAAATGAGTGCTTCATTTTTCATCTCAGTCTTTCTCTCCTTTTCTTTTTTTCTTTTCTAGGACAGAAGGGTATAGAAAAGTCCCCTACCATTACTATGAACAAGGAAGAGATGAATGTGATGAATATTTTCTTCATGAACATGCCCCATATGGGGGGCATAGGTTTATCACTGAAAAGAAAGTGTTTGCTAAATGGGCCAAGAAACACAGGATAATATTTACACACCCAAACTGGACAGTGTCTTGATGTTGGCTTTTCTGACCTTGGCACACCGCTTGACATGATCATGATGCTGAGATTGTGATGCTAATGATGCTAATGCTGATGATGGTGATGATAAAGACAACAGCGATAATCAAGTTTCTGTACATTCTCAGATATGGATGGTGATTCTACCTGTAATATGAACTTGGGATTTTGTGGAGGCTGGTTGTGCTCATTACGTTCTTTCTGAAGGTTCAACATTACATATTGCACTTTATAATTTAACTGGAATTGAAATGAAGGCCAGTAATATGACAACAGTGACCTAAGAAATTGGAAGATTGCTGCCCAGGATTCTTGGACAGTGAATAACTTCCAAAATCCCTGGGATTTGACCTCATGAGGCAAGGTTACTGACTCTGGTCTCTTGAGCCTGAGCAGCTCCACCATCTTGAAGAATGGTTGATTGTCAAACACTGACCCAAGAAATGCTCACTGGGTAAACTTGCCACAGTGACAACTTGGCCTTGGGGCAGGGAAGAAATCTCTTTCTGACTTACCATCTTCCTACAGTACCTCCAACAGATAAAGCCTCAGGCCATTTCCTTATTAACGAGGAAGATACCATGGACACCCTACCTATCAGGATTACTTGACTATCTCAAACACTTCATTCAGAATGGGCCAACTAGCAAATCTTGATGAATTTCTACTCTCATCACTCCAGTCTTACTACCCGCCCCCCCAAATATAACTAAACATATTACTAGAATGATCTGTATTAATGTTTAGTTATTTTTGGTCAAGTCCTAAATATTTCAGAAAGCTAATTAACATATAATATACCAACACTGTAATAACATATACTGTGAAAACATTCTTAAAACATAACCAAAAGGGTTTCCTAACTCTACTACAACATCCAACAACGCAAAATTTGATGCTTTTTAAAATCATGAAACAGGGAAAGCAAAGCATATTTTTACATCAATTTGTATCCTACCATACTTCATAATATATATTTGTATATTCAAATTTCTATTTTATAGGCCCAAGATGTGTCTCTCCACACATTACATTATCATTGCCAAGTGCCAACTATTAGACATGGAGAGCAAATGATTTCTTGTATTTAATTTGACTGGAGATTTTGCCTTCTTTGGGGTTTATTTTCCCCAGAGTGTATCAATTGCTATAACACAATAATAATGACCTTGATGTCCAAAGTACTTTGTCATGTAGAGTTTTTCACATATGCAGTCTCATGTGACACCCGTGACCACCCCACTGGGCTATTGCCTACACATTCTGACATATTAGCAGATGATCTATAATTTGTTAATTGCTCTAATATGTTCCAGATTGCTCCCCTTGCTAATATTTGTATAGAATAGCATTTGTGTAGACTAGCAACCAATTGATTTCAGTACCAAATAAATGTATTATATCAAGATTATGCAGAAGGCATCCCAAGGATGGGTCTTGGCCATAGACTAAAACCCCTGTGAACAAAGGGTACTTTTGATTTTTTTCCCATGACTCCATTTAGGTGGGGAAAAGATGAGGTAAAGGGACAACAGGAAGGAATAGAAGCAGAGAAATATAGTTTCTTGTCTCCATCTTAAGATTACTTTGTTCTCCAGACACTCATTGCTTGTCAAATATTAGAGGGTTAAATTACTGAGAGAGGAGCTCAGAGACCAAAGACATCCTTACCAGTATTCAGAGGACAAAGCTGGGCTCAATTCACAGCCTGTTTCAGAGGCTGGAAGTGATGATAATTTTCACCTCAGGAGCTCTCTGTAGGTCTCTACCAGTACTAAGTCCCACCATTAGCTATCCTTAAAATGGGTCCTCTTGTGAAAAATCCTCTTTCCTGTTCTCTTCTGCCATTTCAATACCTCAGTCCTCACATCCGTAAAAATGACCAAGTGCCACTTTCATTGTTGATATTCATTGTTGTTATTGTTGTTTTTCTTTTGCTATTTCCTCATGTGACTTTCAGTTGTATATATGTTAGTTTTTGCAAGCTAATGATGGATAGAAATGCCCACTCAAAGGAAAATAAACAGATGAAAATGTCACGGTTGTAATACAGACTGTTTTTTCTCCCTGTTGTGATACAGAAGTTCCACTTTTAAATAAAAAGGAAACCTTGGTTATCAGAGTGTTTCAAAGAATGACATAATGCAGTTGATTTAGTTTTCTGGTAAATGGAAAGCCAACCCTATTTGTTTTACTGAGAAACTTCAAAAAACATCCGTGTTCTCCTGCCTCACTGTGGTGCTCTGTGATGGAGACTTCTGCAACGCCACTCTGTGTGGTGGTAGATATGTGTAGAATAGGCAGTGTGTCCTTTGGAAGGGTAAGGGGGGGCCTCCCCTTCCCTTTTTTCACCTTAAACTCCAGTTTTACACTTTTCATTGTTGCCTCTTATCTCCTTTTTCCACTAAGATTGGGAAACAAAAATCAGATTATTCTCATTGTGTAGGCCTAATTGAATGACTTCCAGTGCCATCATCATTTTGATAGAATTATGAACTACATGACTTATTTTTCTTTGCAGTCTTAACATTCTCTGCTTCCATTTCCTGTTCTTCTTCTTTTTAAAATTATTTTATTATTCTTATTGTTATTTTATTTATTTCTACTTTTTGGCTATGCCCTATGACGTGTGGGATCTTAGTTCCCCGACCAGTGATCAGGATTGCATCCCCTGCATTGGAAGCATAGAGTCTTAACTGCTGGGCTACCAGGAAAGTCCCATTTACCCTCAGCTTTCTACTGCTAGTGGAAATACAAAGTCTAATTTGTCCTATGTTGAGAAATTTTCCACCTAAGGTTTACTGATAGAGAAGCAAATGGTAAAGGAGCAAAATTCAAGGAGAGAACTTTTTGTGCAAATTTCTGGTCCACATCACAGGTTCTAGTTAACTAAAAAAGGATTTCGCACAGCATCGAAACATTGAAAAATTTGGCTAAACTCATTTATCAATGATATGTATGTATCCCAGAAGTTAGTTAATATTTGTAAAAAATAAAAATATTTCCATATCATCCAAGGCTCTAGGCACATGGATTCTGGCAAATGCCATGATTTTCTGAAATGAACATAAAATGTGCAAACTAAAAATAATAAAGTAAATATTATTTTTAATTCTGCAGAATCCTTGATGAAAAGCAAGAAAATTTTAAAGCAATTTTGAAAATTAATGTATGAATCCTTTCTAAGTTAGTCTAGTGATAAGTAGTAGTTATTTGTATTTTTATGGTAGTAATATGAGTTAGAAACATTTTAAAATATATGATTTTACATTGTTATCAAATCTATCAAAGGAAAACAATTTGGAAGGATGTTTGTATATATGCACATAGAATCTCTGTGTATATATGTATATTCATGTGTGTTTGTGTGTATACAAAGGTATACATGTAAACCTGTATCCTCACTGATGTGTATGAATTACAGAAAATCTAGTTTAGACTTGATGTGAAATTTGTTGGGTTACATTTTGAATCTTGAAGAAAAAAGAAGAACCAGATTAAATGTACTGATTGCTAAGAGTATGTAAAACACTATCAGCAGCTGGCCAAAAGAATAAAGCTAGAGAAGCTGCTAAATCCAGAACTGAGGACACAATTATATGTCACGGCAGTCACAAATCAGACCTGGAAGTACAGCAATCTGTATCACAGGCTCTGCCGATTGCAGCTCAGCTAAAGTCACATCGAAAAACATCACATCAAGCTCCATTCACACTGACGTGAATGAACACTGGTCCCCTTATTCAAATAAGCCTGTCTTTACCATAAGCAAATTCTGATTTGCATGATTTTTATTATATGGCTAGAGAACTGTGACCATTGTGAAAAAGAGAAAATTATATAAGGAGATTGCTCCTTGAGGATTTGGAATGAATCAGCTCACGTGGAAACAAGAGTCTGAACTGGGGACCTCACTGACCTTTCCAGAGTATAAAGTCACTAGAAGAGAATCATTCATTACTTCCTTAGAAAAAAAAACAAAACACTAAAGTACTTCACCTGGTGGTGTTAATTGGACATTAATTATAAGCTCAGTTTAATTTCAATAAGCATGAAAATATAATCAGATGACTCATTAAAAAAAAAAGTAATGTTTAATGTGGCACGTCAAATGCAAAGAACAAATTCTGTTGTCCAGTGTCAGTTGCTTGCATGTCTTAGCACAATAAATAATTTATAGTCCCAGGGCCAAGAGGGGAAAATGCTTTTTCCTTGACTGCAGTTTTAAAAGGCAAGACCTCATCATTTTCATAGTATACATAGATCCTGTAACTGAAGGAGCCAGTGCCAGCCTTTGTACATTGTCTGGACTTGTAAAACTGCAAGGGGCTTTAGAGACCAAACCATCCAACTCCTGCATCTTGGATTTGAGGAAATTGACTGGTGGAGGTGAAGCGACTTGCCAGTGGCTATAAACCAGACTAATAGCAGTACTGAGACTTAATCTCATGTCTCTTTCTTTAGTACTTTCTCCATTACGTTGTTTGTTTGTTTTAGCACAGAATAGTAGCTGGAAAATGCATACTGACTTATTGGAAGACTATTCCTGGAAGCCAAGGGCTCCAATTAATGTTGATTTTACTTATGATCAAAATAATTCTTCCACTGAACTATAGAAATATTTTTAAATTGAAGTAATAGCTCAGTAATTGTTGATACTCTTTGTTATCTATATGGGCTTCCCTGATGGCTCAGATGGTAAAGAATCTGCCTGCAATACACGAACCAGTTTCTATCCTTGGTCAGAAGATCCTCTGGAGAAGGGAATGGCTATCCATTCCAGTATTTTTGCCTGGAAAATCCCATGGACAGAGAAGCCTGGTCCATGGGGTCACAAGAAGTTGGACACAACTGAGCAACACTTTCTATCACTGATGTTTGTTGGTAACTCTAGGCCATGTCCTATTGTCATAAAATTCGAGGATTAAAGAATGGATGGATAAAAGTCAATGTCATCTTTTGTTATTGAGGTTGATGAAGTCATTGATACTCTTAAG